TATGTTGTTCCGTACTATAATGTGTGGTTTTATGAGCTCGCAGCATTTTGTGGCAGATGGTCACACGGCACTTTTCTTTTCGTCTACACATAAAAACTCAACGGTTTCGATCACTATTCCTGCTTCAAGCTGTACCCCTCTCTCGTTCACTACCGCTTCCCCCTAGCCCGCAAATGTACCGCCCTTTCGCCGTCATGTAACCTTGACAACATCGTCGTGACTTCTCACAATTGATATAAAAATTTAGCTGTGTAATGAATCGGCCTAGGTAAAACATTCCAGCACTTGGGACTGAAAACACATAATTTGTAACAATATATCCATCTTTACATTTTCCCCGTATTTTTCGGTATAATGGAGGCCTTCCGCGGCTCGAAAATTATGAGCACTTCTATAGTGAGAAAAAGCCGATCGCAGTGGCTCCGCAGTCTAAGGTATGAACTGTTTTCGCTCTCTCAAACACTTGGATTGTGGGTTCGATTCCCACTCGAGGCATGGATGTATGTGTACCTTTATTCTGTGTTTGTGTTCTCCTGTAAGCAGATAGCGGCCTTGTGACCGGCTGATATCTCTCCTACCGACTGTGTAAAAAGGTTAAGAAGCTGAAAAATATCCAACAAGGGACTGTAGAGCCATAGACAGATAGACTGAATATCGAAAATGTAAACAAAATACTTAAAAATTAAGATTTAATCGTAATTACATATTCCGGGTGTACGGATACAGATCCAGGTATGTACTTGCGTTATATCCAGTTGCTATGCATAAAACTGCTTATGAAACCGTCGAATGGGTCTAAATCGTGTTTACATTTAATGTGTGTCTTAAATGTACCAGATCATCACAGTTCAGTACTTACGTATATCCTGTACGAATTGATTGTTGATGGCGTAGTTTTATGTATGCTCAGCCAGTGCGAATGTAGGATATGTATCTAACAATATTTTATTTGTAAAATAATCATAGCAAGGTTCTCCGGTCCGTGATATTTTCCGACACTCCTCTCCCAAGTTAAACCCAATTTTCCACCTCTGCAACAGGTAGCCAGTTGCGTGACCACGCTGCATCCCTCTGTACCACACGCCGAACCATTTTGCTTTCTTCTTAGATAAAAGGGTACAGTGATTAAAAAAATATGTTCTCGCATATCTCCTAGAATCTGTGTCACATGCACATGAAAGGAGCAGAAATGCTCAAAACTGAGAAAAATACATTTTTCCAAATATTATAACGGATTTGCTCAAAGCATTGCTAGCCTACAGCTCGATAAACAATTCGCGATTCGCGCATGCAACAATAGGGCGGCTGTTATAGCTAATTGCTAGGCACCAGTCAGCACGCCAATGGATTGGCGAGATAGCGAACACGTGACATGCTTTTTGTGCATGTATGTATGTATATATTTATATGTATGTTTTGTGTATGTATGTATATGTGCTCTAGTGCAGTGATATTGCGAGTGTGTGATTAAGTGAGAGTTTATAATACCTGCGTAAGATCCGTTGACGGGAAACGGATAGTGAAAATATTGTCAAAGCTTACCCAATGTTGAGATGTGTTACCTAGCAACGACCAGTATAAGAAAATATAGAAGATTTTATTTATACGTTACAATTACAGTAATCTTGGAAGTGTTATAATTAATTGTAGTTACGACTTGTGAGTGTCAGTGAATGCAGCTACAATCCGAACCCCGTCTATATTCTCTCCAACACGTGACAATATACATCCTTTTGTTCCTTCTTTTCTATGCTCATTTCCTTATTTTGAGAAATGCAATTATACTTACGACACTACCTTACTGAAATTGTCTGTGTGTTATTCCTTAAAAAGCCTTAATAGTGGAAATAGAAGAGTCGGCGATTTCTAGGCAATGGCTCTGTAAATAAATTCTCATGGCAACGAATACACACGCAACAAAGAAAAACTATTTGGCCTGGTTTTTAATACGGTCCCTGTTTTATTAAGTACTAAGTATGTAGTGGAAGGAATATAGGCGATTAACTGTTCCTAGAACTTTTCTATGATGCTGAAAGAGTTTCTACAAAAATTTATATTTTTACATTGAAGCTGTGCACTGTTCTAGCCTGAGGGACGAGCTGCTTCCTGATTCAGTACAAAGGGATTCTATTCCTGTAAGTCTGTATGTGTGGAAGATGGAGCTCATTTACTAAACTTACTCTATCTATTGGGTCGTAAATCTTGGAAGACAATTGATTCCTTTTGTATTGGAAGACAGGATTAGGAACAGATTGTACGAATTGCCTGCAGACACAAAATCAGCTTATCCCATTACTGTGTCTTCCGTAACAGCCTTGAAGCTTGTATCTGAGGAGCGTGTTGGAAATTTGACTACTGGCGACTTATCATAACACAACCAGTAGTTTGTCTAATGGAATAATATCAGTAGCCATAACTGAAAACAGAGTTTAAATTTGACGGTAGGCGATTTATCCTAGTATAATTCAATTGTATGGTTGGTGGAAAGTGGATATAACCACAAATAAAATTGTAGCACACTTGTGTAAGCACAACCAGTAATGTATCTGATGGAATGTGGATATAACCACAAGAAAATGAACAAGAAATTCTGGCAAGAAGTAGCATAGCACAGCATAACATAACAAAACAGTTTATCGTTGCTGGTTCTCGCCAGCACAGTCTTTCTTGGTTTCGGGCCCCACAGGGACCCATGACCAAATTTTCGTTCGTTCTAGGACGATTTGTGTGTTTGAAAATCGGGTATCCTCTCCGTCGAGAGAAGAGTTTGATCTTTCTGAGTATGCGTCACATTTGTTAGTCACAATTCAGCAAGAGTGTACCAGCACTCACACAGCGTCCAGGTAAGGCATTTATATTTTATGGACACTATAAGCTCTTTGTCTCTTTACTGCAATGAATAACATTTATACAAGATATACAAAGGACACCCTTCAATGCAGGCTTATGCAACAAATATTTTCAAGTTATTTTAACACCTAGAAACCGCAGTTAGCCACTTGAAGGGTCGTAAGTCTTACCGCCGCCGAGTTTAAACCACTTATACTTCCCATACATAGATTCTCCTTGTCCAGTTCCACGTACATTTATATTTATCGTCTTCTTTCTTTGATACGACATGAATCGCAAAGAAGAAAACACGTACAACAATTGTTTTACCAAGTCGTTGTCTAGCAAAGACAAGGGACATACACATAGAGACACAGAGGGCTCCAGTAGGTATTAGTAGGGGATACACAGACAGACAGACAGACAGACAGACAGATGCAGAGGCATCAACGTGATCTCATTTACCTCCTTTTATTCTTTCTATGTAAGAAAAGTCAGCTAAATATGACGGCCGGCAATTTATATTAGCGCACTCAGTAGCACGTTTGTTGCACAGTTACTTGAAAGGAGAGTAGATATGTGGCGGTTGGCAGGTCTAATTCAAAGTGAAATTTGTCAAAAATCAGATAATCTAAGGCAACACTTGTAAAACGTTTAGTTATGTGTGGCTGTAAGCTAAGTATCTCGTGTGAGCTTTACTGAAGTGTCTACGAAGAGATTTCTACTTAACTATTTGCTTTCTCAGTTTATTGTACCACCACGAAAATAAATAAATACGTTCCTCTGAAGTTTTGATAAACTTCTACGAGACTACACGGCGTCATATCTCAGAATATGTTATGTAACGTGTCTTTCTGTCGCAGTGCAAAATTCAGACTTCTGTAAATCAACTAAAGCGGCACATAAGACTTGCGTAATATTGTACACAGTCGTCAGTCCAGTTTTTCCAAACAGGCGAACCGTTAATTATTTGTCTTCTTGCCCATTTTCTCTCAACAGAAGACTTACTACAGAAATCTTAACTCAGAAGTAAGAATTGTTATTTATGTTCAACTGGTTCCATGATGAAACGAAGTCACCTGTTGCACTTCGGTTTAATCGCGAATTGCATTCTAACGGTGAGATGTAAGAGGAGGTGGGAAAGAACTGCGTCATGATGAGTTCGTAACTGTTGCTCTTCACTGTGTGTTGTTAGAATAATCGGATGAAACAGGATGAGGAGGGCTGGGCATGTGGCAGATCATAAATGAATATAAAACATTCCTCGGAAAACATAAATAGAAGATGTAAGATTTGAGCTTTTCACTGCGGTGACTGCAGACTGTAGCCAACTGCTCAAGATGATTCCTGGCTCGCGGATTTTTCTATCCCGCAGATGGAGGCGATAAGTTCCTCCGAAACGTCTGTTCACACAAGATTTACACGACGCCACATCACAGAAAACCGAATTCTTCATGAAGAGAAGATCTTCCTGGCAAGACCCAAGTGTAAATGGAAGGATAATATTGAAAAGTATCTTGACTATGTAGGATGGTAGGGTGTCGATCGGATTCCCTGGCTATTGATAAAATTAAGTGGCTGAAAAATTTTAATACGGTAATAAATTGTCGTGTTCATTCAAAGTGGAGGGTTTTCGAGAGTAGCTGAGCAACTCTGAGCTTGTTAAGAAGGGATCTGCTCAACACAATTGCTTGTTCTGGTAGTTAATTAAATAGTTAGGTAAGTCGTTGTGAGAGCAATTTGAGGGCGTTGCGGCAGACCGGCTCTAGTTCCAGCTCAGGGATATCGGAACTGCGCACAGGTTGGCAGTTCGGCTACCTAGCACAGCAGTGAGCGGGGCCGGTAAAGTATGTGGCAGACACTAGCTAGTGCGCGGCCGAGTGGCGTCGCGTCGAGACGCGTCTGGTGTAGACGCTCACTGCATGTGGGGACGACGCTAAAATGTGATCATTCTGTGCTTCCTCTTGTGATTGGACAAGTTCCTTAAGTTTACATAACGTCATCCACTAAGACGAAACCAGAATATTATAGTTGCTTATTTAAAATTATTATATCTTCGTTGGTGTAGATAATAACAGATACTAAGATTTCACATTTATATTAACAAAAATATTATATTTTTAGAGGCTCGTGGAAATTTTCCCGACTTTTGTAAGGCATCTTGATTAAATATGGCACTCAATAGTCCTGGAACATACCCTTTAAGTCCAAGAAGCCCCAAAAGTCCTTTACCTATGAGTCCAACCGCTTCTAAGAGCTCAAGTCATTTTAACTTTGCACCTCCAAGAAGTGCCGGAGGACCGAGAAGTCCCAACCACTATTGTCCTAAGAGCCCTGGAAGCTCGAATAATTCCACTCAGTTCAACTTTGGTCCTAAAAGCCCTGGTGCTCCTAAGAGTCCTACAAAATTTAACTACAGTCCAAAGAGCCAAGGGTGTCCGAAGAGCCCAATGAATTTCAACTTTGGACCCAAAAGTCCAGGAGGTCCTAAAAGTCCAAGACAGCAGTTTACATTTGGTCCTAAAAGTCCTAGTTCGAAAAGCTCTAGTCAGTTTACATTCGGTCTCAAGAGCCCTGTTGGTTCCAGAAGCCCAAGCACAGCTCCTCGATGTCCAAACGGTTATCTAAGATCGTCTTCAATTGGGTCTCGGGGCCCAAGTACTAGGGCTGAGAGCAGTGTTAATTCTTTCTCGTCGAGTTCCAACATTTCTAGCAGCAGTGCACTTCAGCACTCGAACTCTGGAAGCACTCAGGACGTAAACTCAACCGACACAGGTTCAACTTCGTCATCCTCATGGACCAGGTATCGCAGGTCTACTTCAGACTTGACAGACCTCATGGAGGAAGACTGCTCCACTACGGCTACCTCTCTGTCCCGACCGTGCTCGCCGCGGAGCCGGGCGGGCAGTATCAAGGGAGGCGGAGGACTGGCCTATCTAGCGTCACGACGTGGCAGCAGGGATTCACAACTGTCACAAGCGTCCGCGGAAGATGTTGGGCCGCTTAACTTCAGTAGCAATCCTCGAGGACGCCAGCGGAGGACTTCGAACTTCCTCGAGTTACCAGGTAACGTCTGCAAGAACACAATTAGCTCACTTTTTTGTATTCGCATAATCGCTTTTCTTTTAATGAAACCTTCATGTTACCAGTAGCCTTTTATTGAGTGTGAAATGTGAACACAAAGTTCTTAGTTTACCCTCAGTGTTAACCAGAATATTAGAATTAGTACACGTTGTTACATTATTTTCTTGCCTCGAGATGTTCGGGTGTAACCCAACAATTTTTGCTACAACCTTAGATAATGTACGAATTGATCTGTTCCTTGCGCTAGGACTTTTGTGGTTAACCTAAAACTTCATCAGAAATTTTACAATATGGACTATCGAACAGTGTCGCGCTTCGCCGCATTCTGTGTTAATCTAGCAATTTAAATTTGATTTTTAGATATTGCACCGAGTTATTTTTTCATGCGATGGATTCTTCTGAGATAACCCTAAAATTTTAATCAGCGTGTTAGTTATTGCATGAATGTGTTTTATTTCGTGCACTTGGTTGTTCTGAGTTTACTATATTAAACAAAATGTTAGGTTTGTAATTGTATTTTTTTACATTATTCGTGCATTTCTATATTTAGGTCTAACCCCATAACTTTAATTAGAACGTCAAAATTTGTTCTCTTTGTTGAGTGGTATAGTGCGTTGTAGTGCGATGTTTGTATCTTCAGATTATGCTGAGATGTAGGATATTCCCAGAATGGTGCCAAAATTTCCGAATAGCCCTATATGTGTTTACATTCTGTGGAACCGAGATTATGCCATACAATTGTTATACTTTGAACCAACATCAGCTTCCGTATTATATTAGACCTTTCATGTAAGCAAGTCTTAGCATATTTTTTAAAGATTTTATAAATCCTTTTTCCTGTCATTCACAAATCTACATTTACTATTGGAACACAGAATAAAAATTCAATGGAAATTCTCATAGTTTACTATATTTACTTTCGTAAAACATACTTCCTCTGATTTCTCCCGGATATCTTTCCAGACCTACATGTTATCGAATGATACGCCGAGGTCGACTATCAACACAAGCCACACAAATAACTCCCACAAATAGTCAATCATAAACCGTCCCCTTTATGTAGTATATTTCACTTTATATACCCACATAAATTATTATCAATACTCGCAGAATATGCACGATACACTCAAACAAATGAGTCCTTTGTTCGTGACCTACTTCACAATTTACTTAAAACGTGATAACGTTCAATAATTTGTTGCTATGGCAACCCGAATTTGCGTAATTTCAGAGCTCTCATCTTCCCGTTACAGTATGTTTCAGCCTGCTTCCCCCACATTGAGAAAATAGAAGTAGGCGTATGAGATTACTATGCTGTCTGTGTGTATCTCCTATCGTTGGTAGGCATCGGCCTTCCCGCGTCAACGAATACATAGACAACAAAAGCAGAATTTTTGGACGCCTCGTTTTCTATCCAGCTCCCGTCGTATCAAAAGGAAAATGGCCTTAGTTGTTCCCACAGCTTCTTGTCACATGTGTAGAGAGATCTGTTATTATTCTCGGCAACCGAGAAGACATAAAGTGGAATGGAATGGTGATTATTGAGTAATGGTTGAGAAAGAATGTGGAAGAAAGCATCGTTGCCTACTTTGAGGTACGAACTTGGGATTTGCTGATATGTACTGAGGAAAACCAAGAACTATGACAGTCGAGATAGCTTCAAATCGGACTGAGTACGTCCGGCGTACACGCGATGTACGTTACCTAATTGAGCCGACTTACCGCATATTTTTATTATTTTAAGATCTTATGCTTGTGCAGTACATTCAGTTTGCTTCCCTCTGGGAGGGTAGCTTCAGTTTCAGAATTATGACAAGAGAGCTGCATAAGATGACCATTAAAAGCATAGTGCCTACAGACAGTCTAAATTGTTTATGTATTTGCGATTTATTTATGCTTTCAGTAGACCTCATTAAGGAGCAAGATACTGTCAAGTGTAGGGCGGTACGCGCGACGAAAATGACGGGTTATAGTTCGGATGATTGGATTTATTAGCATTTTGTTTATAAACTTCCTTAATTATATTTACTAAGGCAATACAGCGCTATCGCTGATTCACACACTTTACAGTTCAGTGTTGCACACGTACTAGGCATTTCAGTTTCCACTACTCGTCTTCTAGCAACGGATCTCAACACAGAATGTATACCTCAAATCGCTATGAAGACTTCTTGTTATTTCGTCTTAAATCACTCTGTACTCCTATATCCTAATCTGTACCAAGTTAATCCTCACAGTTCTCTAAGGACACGCCGCGCTCCATCCTTGTCCTTGCACTTACTCTTAACAGTTGAACCCTCTTGGATCCTCCACTTCGCTCCTTTCGCGTAATTCCGCTGTTACTATTTCTCTCTCTGACGAACACATGAGAACTCCGACTCTCTTATATAGCCGAGGGGCCGACATGGACTAAGTGTAAAAACATATCACGCGACCACTACCACTGTTGCTGTGCGACGTCACCGCACATCCGTAGCTGAAGGACACGAAGGAAACATATGTCACGTGACGGCCAGCTACTGTTGATGTGTAACGTCGCCAACTGCCGGACGCACGGAAAATAGAGCTTGCAGTACTGTTGCGGGCGCGAATCGTATTTACAGAGCTGCTGCCTTGCAACTAGTTGGTCAGATACGTCGTGATTCAGCTAAACGGATTGAAGCCGGGAACAGTGTCCACAGTTGTGTGCAGTCCCTAACTTTCAAGACGGACTCTGTCACAGAAACACTATTTATGACAATAATTTACAGAAAACTGTACAGAAAAACCAAAGAAAGTGTTGGGCTCTGGCCTTATTAAGTAGAAGAGCGCAGAAAGGCCTGTTTCATGTACATTACGAAAATCTGTGGCAACATAACAGAAAATCTTTCAATATTTTCGTATGCTGAAAAATTGTTTGAAGAACTACTGGCGGTTCTGAAAGAGAATATTTCTAGATCAAACACAGTCGTGGGGTATTCTGGCAGGAGAAAGTCTTTCGCTGACGTTGAGGTAAGAAAGTACAGAGTTATTAAAAAAGAATGAAGCGATCATGATGCATTGCTTCAGTGCTCAAGCATCGTCATGGAATGAGTCAGTGACCATTTGAAAGAGGAGTTATCTAAGTTGTAAATGGCTGCCATATGGGCGCTGAAGTCATGTCGTTCTTCCGGCAACGTTCAGTTTTTCGTTTACCCTCGGAATGGCGAGTCCTCAGCAAAAGGCGTTCTGCGTTCTCGAGTTCGCGAAAACAAATTCGGTTGTCACGGTGCAGCGTGGTTTTCGAAGGCGATTCGGCATTAATCCGCTCTGTCCTAAGAACATTCGACGGTGGTTTCGACAGTTTCAAGAGAGTGGGTGTCTGTATAAAGGAAAAAATCCAGGACGACCACGAGTCTCGGAGGAACAAGTGGCGAGAATCCGTGCTGCGTTTGAGGGGAGCCCGCGGAAGTCAAAAATCGAGCTAGCCGTGAGCTTGCGATCCCACAATCCACTGTCTGGCGTGTGCTAAGAGTACATCTACATTTGAAACCATACAGACTGCAGCTAGTTCAGGCACATACCAATGACGACAAAAGTAAGCGACTGGAATTTTGCGATTCGAAGCTGGAGATGAAGGAAGACGAAACGTTCCTTTCACGTTTAGTTTTTAGTGATGAAGCTACTTTTCACTTGAGCGGCACAGTCAATTGTCACAATGTGCGTATTTGGGGAGCAGATTACCCACATGAAGCAGCTGAGCACGAAAAAGATTCCCCTAAGGTGAATGTACGTTTTCTGTGCTGTGTCTCAGGACAAGGTTTATGGTCCCTTTTTCTTTGAAGGAAACGCCTTTACAGGACAAACCTATCTCGATATGCTCCAAAACCGGCTCTTCACTTCACTGCAAGCAGATTCGCATGACTTAACTTTTCAACAAGATGGAGCACCACCCCATTGGCACCTGATGGTCCGAGCTTTTTTAAATGAAAAAGTGCCCCAGCGATCGATTGGTCGGAAGGGGGCCCAAGACCTTGCTCTTTGTGCTTGGCCTGCGAGATCCCCAGAGCTCACCGTGTGTGATTTCTTCTTGTTGGGATATGTAAAAATCACGTTAATGTTCCACCGCTACCCACTAACCTCGATGACCTTAAACATCGAATAACAACAGCGATTAACTCAGTGCATCGTGATACGCTGATACGTGCCTGGGAGGAATTCTCTTATCGCAATGATGTTGTCTGTGCTGCAGGTGGTGGCCACATTGAACACTTGTAAGACAGGAAATAAAAGTTGATTGTGAGTAGAATACTTGTAACTTGGCTGGAGTTTTGTATTACTTTCATTTAATAAAATCGGTTCATTCTTTTTTAATAACACTGTATAATTCATCTGGTTGATGGTACTCCTGCTTCAAGGGACCTGAGTTGATGGAAGTATATATATTGCCTCCGTCCTGTTGGGGAGGCTGATCCATATTTGTCTTCTTTCCTCCTTAACAATTCACTGGCGTAACTATCTCACAAAATTTTCCATTTTCTTTGAAAAAGATATGCCGTAAGAAATATAAAATATTTGTCAATTGTGTTCTACAGTTTATTAATTCATTTCATTGCGTTCTTCACCTCTCATGTAATGCAATAAAAATATGTACAATGGAGTAATAAAATATTCTGCTTTGAAATGTTTGGCTGCTCAGTAGTGGATTTATATTTTGAATAGAAACTTTGGCATTTACAATGTTACTTCGCGTTTGAGAGGCAGTATGGCGGATCCTTGCTTCAGAACAGAGCAATGGTTAGAAAACATTTAGACTTCCCAAACTGCAGACGGGCGAAAGACGATAAGCTTCTCAGGATCGTTGAACTAACTGAAGCGGTTCTCGTTCGTTTACAGCTGTAATATGCTTAACGCTGTCGACACACGACTTCGCCACCAAGTGTTTCGGGTGTTTCCGGCCTAAGAAACCCACGAAACTCATCAGTCATAATACTCTCCCAGTCGACATCCTTTATAAGACTCAAAAGCGCTAAAACCTGAGCGAATCTGCTTTCTGTGATTTGGTTTGTCAGCGACGAAGTTTTGTGGAATATTACGAATATAGTTCAAG